CAGGTGCACAAAGAGATACGCAAAAAATGCCACAGGTGATAGTGGAGGAGACTAACTTTTTGTCTGGAGAAATTGTGGAAGGCTTTGTAGAATTGATACTTTTGGAAAAACTTCCTTTTGAATTCGTCTGAGAGCTTCATGGTGTGCTAGGTGTTAACGAGGCAAATCCAAAAGTTACGATGTCCTGATAGTCCATGAAAATGTTGGGAAGATTGTGTATTCAGTTGCCACAAGGATAGAATCAGTTAAGTTTGGTTGATGGCAATCTTTGTGAAATGGTGTCTCATACATTGTGTGTTCTCTTCTAAGTTTCTTAAAATGTTGACACTTTTATATCTATATATGCATTGCTGAAATGTTATTCATAAGAACACCAGAGAATTTATGAGAAATGTCATGGAAAACCAAGGTAGTCTGGTATCGCTATAGACTCCTTCAGACTCAACTCTCCCATGTGCTAGTGTTCTTCAAGCCTTAGTTGCCTCATCTATAAAATTTGGGCCATAATAGTACCTTCCTCAAAGGATTATAAATCAACATTAACATCAAATGAGATAGTGTACTCTTGGCACGGTGCCTAGCTCATAGTAACACTCAGTACATTTTTGTTGCTTACTAATTAAGGTTAGACTATGTATCAGTTTCAAGATTGTGGGCCTAAAAAAAAGTCTAGTTAAGATATTTGGTTTCTTTCAATATTCAGTTAGATTTTAAAGGAATTATTTGTAAAACACCCAGAATCTGAAATTTTTTCCCCTCTTACTCTGTTATGACAGGTGTCCACAATAAAATTCCCTGAGAAATTACTAATTTGGACTCAAATAGTGAAAAGTCTTTCCCAAAGGTGTATGGGTACGTGTGTGTGTTTAGATAGATTCTTAAGTTTATATTCAGGTTGAAAGTGAAGATTGACTAGATTACCACTACAAAGTATTTGTTTAATGAGTGAGCTAATTTCTACCTTAACATAAATTCTGCAACCTCACATGTATGCATTGAGTCACTATTCTTTTTCTCATATGTGAATATGCAGAGTAGTAGTTGTGGGGCCCAGGAGTAATCTAGACATGTGGTCCTCCTCTCAGAATTGGATCTCACTGTGACCTCATCTCCATATCTGGCTTTGTGTTTAAAACTAATTTAAAATTAATTCTCTGTTTTAGATTTACTTGGGAATCTACCTAGCCTATTTTTATTGTATTAATTTATTTTTAACCTTTTGCTTTAATCCTTGAGGTAGTGGGGAAGGCAATAACACACACACACACACACACACACACACACACCACCTCAAATGCCATGAAGCTAGTGCCTGGAAATCTACAAGGGGGAGATATGGAATCCATTCTATGTACATTAATTTCTCTCTTTCTGAATTTTCCAGAAACATGAGTCAGACTGACATTAAGTTTGTAAACTGTGCCACAAAGGAGAACAATTTTAATCTAGGTCAACATTAAAAATAATAATAATAAAAAAAAAGTCCAAACTCATTTCCAATGAGTTGATTCCAGCTCATGGCACCCCATGTGTTTAGGAGGAGAAATGTGCTCCACAGGGGTTTCAGTGGCTGTGATCTTACTGAAAGGAGCGCTAGTGGCACAGTGGTTAAGCCCTCAGCTGCTAATTGAAAGGTCGGTGGTCTGAACCCACCAGCTCGCTCCACAGGAGAAAGATGTGCTAGTTTGGTGTTGTAAAGATTACAGCCTTGGAAACCGTATGGAACAATTCTGCTCTGTCCTGTTGGGTTGCTATGAGTCAGAATCGACTAGCAATGAGTTTGGCTTGTTGTTGTTTTTTTTTTTAATCTTACGAAAGTGGATCGCCAGGGCTTTCTTTTATGGTGCCATGTATTTACTGACTTTGGTCCCAGGTATTAACTTTCTGTTCTTCGTTATGAGTGAAGATGAATCTGGAGGCAGAGACAGAGAGAGTTGGAAGAAATGGAACTTATGAATAACAAGGAGAAGCACATGGGCTAGATATATTTTCTCAGATAAGAGATGCAGGCATTTGAGAATTACTGATTGTAACTATATGAACTGTAGATCCCTTAGTGCAATCCTAGGTCTTTGTAATTTCTTTTCATGTACCATATTTCATTAAACATTTTTGATAAATAAGTGCTTGCCATCTTTTGGTTTGAGAGTTCATTAAAAAAATTGTTGTAAAAGTACAGACTTTATTTTAATCACATAAAATTTTAAGCTGTTGTAAAGGGATGGGACAAATTTAATATACTAGGTGGTAGTGTTTCAATTGATGACCGTAGTGGACAGCATTAGAAGTAATAATTGAAGAAAAGGTGGGACTTCTTTATACTGTGATATCTGCCTAAACTATTTAACCTAGAGATATCATTGGGCTTATATCAATATATCTTTATGTATGTATAATTTGAACAGCTGTGATCATACTGTACATCGATGTTTATCTCTTGCCTTTTTTCACTCAAGTACTAGCGTGGTGGCAATCCTGTGGTATTACACATTCTTTAAAAATGTTAGTTCTAAATCTGTCATGATATAATACATCCTGATCTTCTTTTAATGTTGATAATCATGCTGGAAAAAAACAAAAAAAAACAAACCCTTTAAAAGGTTCCACTTTGGATCAAAGCATCTTAATTTTTCCTGCCAAGTTAATGAAGGAATACTGTTTCCTTTAAAAATATTGCATATGCTTTAAAATCTTGGTTATATTTCTTCCTTGAAAAGCACTCTCTAGAGCACCATCTCCCTTTGTGCTCAGCAGAACATTAGTTTTATTGGGTAAGTGGCATTATGTGACATGAAGCCAAATAAGATTGGGAAATTCCAATCCAAATTGAATTGACTCCCCCCTCTCCCATGCCTAGGACTTCTCAGAGCCTTAATCCCTAATATACTTTGTGGATATCTGAAGAGGGGGTATAAAGTATACAGTTTCCACTAAACTTAATTTGACCGTGGAACCGCCTTACATTTTTTTTCCCCCTTGAGGCTAAGATCATGAGAGAACATTGAGAAAAATCTTGGAATTTCTTATCATCTGTGCTTAAACAATCACCACAGTAAAATCCCAGACAGAGTTTAGCTAAACTTGGGATGGGCATAGGCAGAATGTTCTCAATTGATGGTTTTGTCAAAAAAAAAAAAAAAAAAAAATGTATAAGTAGAGTATTTATATGGTTAAAATGTTGTGGGGTTGTTAACCAATGTCAAAAAAAAAAAAAAAAAAAAAATGTATTTTAGTTGGGGCTTTCAAGTTTACTACCTCTCCAAATTATGAAGGGATTCTGGGTATGCTTTTTCTTTTTCCATATGTAAAACATTTCTCTTCCTAGGAGACTGAAAACAAAAGAGTTTTTTTTTTTTTTTTAACCCATTCTACTGTCAGAAGTTGCTTTCAAGGACAATTTTTTTTAAAAAGAGACATTTTCTTTGAAAAATTTCAATATACTTAACAAAAGAGAAAAATGATCCCAATCTGTATGTGTATAATTTGTTTTTATAAGACAGAAAAATGATCCTAAACTGATTAAATTTAGTAAGCACTAAATACTTCCAAAAAATCCCACTGCCATTGAGTTAATTCTGACTTATAGTGGCCCTGTAGGGTCTCCAAGGCTGTAAATCTCTTCAGAAGCAGATTGCCACATCTTTCTCCCGTGGTGCCGCTGGTGGTTTCAAACCACTGACCTTTCGGTTAACGATCGTTCGCTTTAACCACTGCGCCACCAGGGCTCCTGGGTGCCCTAAATAGGGTGGTATATATACCAAATTTCATATCATTAGCGTATATTCCTTGCAGAATAAACATTTATCAGTGCTGTTTATTAATTTAAATGGATTTTTAAAACTGTATACAAGGCAAAGATTGCTGCCTTCTTGGAATTTATGTATATTGATGCTCTGATCTTATGTCTAAATCCTTTTACTTGCGTGTATTCATTTGCTGGTTCCTGCCCCACAGCGGTTGCTCATCAAGCCATTGGTTCTCAGATGGATGTTGGAATCGACTTGAAAGCAAGTTGTTTGATTTGGGTTCTGTTGTGCTTCAGGGATGAGCACAGTGGTTTGTGAGTTAGTTCCCAGTTTTATGAAGAAGAAATGTTGCCTATGATGGTGCAAATTTACTTCCCTCCCTTTGACTACTTAATATATTTATAGTACATTACCAGTCTAAGTTCTCAGTATGTTTTTACAACATTTGTTTTAATCATGTGTCCAGTTCGGCATTCTTAAAAAATAAAATAAAATAAAACCTAACAAACACTTTGCCTAATATACTCAGCTTATGAGTGCTGTGAAGACCATGAGCATTCTTATGAAATATATTATCTTCATGGCATACATCCATGAGATTTATTATGCTGTTTATGTGCTTAAAATTACCAAAGGATTTGCAGTGATTGATACGGATTGATTATGAGAAGACTGAGAGTTATATTGGGGGATTGAGTTAAAAGTTGAGATTTTCCTTTTTATTGAGTAACAGATTAGGAAACAGGAAAAGCAACATCAATACATAAAAATGACAATCACCAGTTGCCATTGAGTCGATTTCGGCTCATGGCAGCCACACGTGTGTCAGAGTAGAACAGTGCCTCATAGGTAGGGGCGAATTATCCGATAAGCAAGGTAAGCATGGGCTTACTTGTGATTACTTCCTAATCTGTAGTGAACAATTTTCACCACACCACATCAAAGTGAAACTCATGTGAACTTGTTCACTACAGGTTAGGAAGTAAGCGCTACTAAGCCCATGCTTACCTTGCTCACGGAGTCATCTGCCCCATCAGGGATTGTAAATTTGAAAACAAGCTTTGAGTCTGTACGAATGTGCTGTGGGGTTGGGAGACAGACAGATGACAGCCATACTTTGAAGCAGAATCTTTGATGTGGTGAAAAAAATGTGAAGTTGTTTACTATAGATTAGTAAATAAGCACAAGTAAGCCCATGCTTAGCTTACTTATTGGATAATCTGCCCCTGTCCGTAGGATTTTCAGTGACTGGTTTTTTGGAAGTATATCGCCAGACCTTTCTTCTGAGGTGCCTCTGGATAGACTCGAACTGCCAACCTTTTGGTTAGCAGCCTAGAGTGTTAACTGTTTGTACTATCCAGGGACTCCCTTTAATGTACAAAGATGTTTTTCAGCAAATGCTGGGAAGAAAATCAAAAGCATTCCTGCAAAGCACAGCACTGGTGACTATTTTTGTTATCAGTGGAAACCTAATTAACATACAAATAAAATGTCAATTCACATGATAACCATCAAGATAAATAGATGCATTTATACTTTTCCATGAGCTACTCTTTTTGAACTTAAGTGCTATGTTTGGCTCTTTGCCCAGGGATCAGTTGAAATACTCTGCATTTAACAGTGAAGTTGAGCCTGGCCCATGTGCAAATGCAAAGTCAGATGGGCTTGTTTGAATCAACAGTTGTCACTGTAGATTATTTTAATTTTTTTCCTGTGAGTGGAAAACAAAAGGAAAACCTACATATATGTGGGGGAAACGAATGGTAATGTTTCTTAATTTGCTTAGTAAAATTGTGATCTTATTCAAATCAGTTTTTAATACATTTGCCTCTCACCTGTTATGAAAGGAAAAATAATCAATTTTTCTTTCCTTTTGGTAATCTGTGATGTATATTTGTTCTATTTTAGTTATCCCATTTAGTGAAAATAGGTGCATATTTTTTCAGATACATTCTACTCTTTCATTTAGACTTCTTAGCATAAAGTCATTAAAAACAAAAAAGCAGTTTCGTAAGTTTCTTATAAAAATAAAATAGTTAATAGAGGCTTTTCTCTAACATACATACGAATATATGCAGACTATTTTGGTTAATATGGCATTATTACTTTCCAAACTGTCTGCTTTTACCTAGACTAGTACATTTGAAATGAGATATTTAAAATATGGCGAGCATAGCATGATGAAGTAAAAGCCTTATAAAATGTATTTGGGCCAGCATCGAAACTCTTTGTAATAGGATATCTAAATAGTGTGTGTTTTATCTCAGAGAGAGGCTTGGGTTAACTTAGAGGTTAGTCCCAGTGTCCAGATGACTATTAATGGGCTTCGTGCTCTGAAGCATATGCTAATAGAAGTGATCATTTCGGATTAATTTGATATGAATTAATAAGAGATTTATTTGATGGGAGTTGTTTGAAGGTGATGACATTTAAATCTCAACAGGATTTAAGATGTCCAAAATACCTTTAAAGATTCAGGAACAATCAATTTAGAGAGTAAATTAAATAGAAACGGATAGCAAAGAACAGGATCTGACGCTGGGTTTATGAAGTTTGAAGCAGTTTACAAAAAAAGCAATCTACCATTGAAGTATTGCCCTGAAATCTGAAGAAATAGAAAACATTTAAACTCCTTCAGTAATTCTTGGGTTTGTGAATTGGATAAACAGTGTTTCCTTGCATTTTATAGTTCACTTAAGCAATCTGATTTTGATCTGTATATATAGAGTAGAGAGGATTCAAGTGATTTTTATTTTCTCCTAAACCTATGAGCAAACACATATGTTCTTAAAAAACGGAACTTTATATGTTGTTCATATGGAAGCTATCCAGTTTGCTCTATAGGCCCAAGACTTGACCTTCCTTTTATTTTGCTATCACTTGCTTAATTCTTTAAATTCTTTGTGGGGGACTTTGATCAAAAGAAACAATTTGCTATACCTTTTTTCTTTCTTTAATTTTTTTTAAATAAAAGCTACATGAAATGTGTAATTAATAACTCAGTACTCCTAGGCCAGGAATATAAACAAGAATGGGAAAAAACAAAAGAGAAGACCGTCATGACTTTTCTTTTTGTGCTAAGCTTTGATTTCAAACACTTCAAAGTTTTATTATCTGAAAAAACAGTGAGAAAAAGTCATCTGGGATTATATATTGTGAAAATAAGAACTGCTCCTTATAATAAAAATCATACTCAGCAGGATTTGAGACTAAGGTCAAATTATACAATCTTGCCACCCCCCCCCATTTTTTACAGCCTTGTTCAGAATATATATATGGTGTATGTATATGTATGTGTGTATATAGATATGTATATCAAAGACACCCATACCCACACACACATGTTTATTTCTTATACATACAAGTTTTTTTTTTTTTGAGAAAGAGGACTTCCTTATAATTTTTCTTTGCTTTTTAAATATGTCTTTCCTCTCCCTTCAAGTTAGTGACAAACGATAAAAGTAAAGTCATCTTGCTTGATGTGTTTGGCACATAATTGCTGGCAAATATACGTTTAATGAATGAATGAATATTGGGAATATGAAAAACTGAGTGAACGGTAGGCATCAGTGATTTAGGCCATCCTTACTTGTTAATGGTTTAATATTGATAGTCTTTCAATGAAATTGGATAAAGGTTTTCCAAGGGAAAGCTAAAGTGCCTAAACCATTAACCAGAACCATCGTAGGGTCACAGAGGCGGGAGTAGTTTAGAAATCATTTTTTCTAGTTCTCTCATTGTACCAATGAGGACAGAGGCCCAGGCAAGTGAAAGGACTTGCTCTTGATCACATCGACGTGAGGTTTGAATCAGATCCAGAACCTGAGACTCAAGATTGCTTAATTCCTCTTTAGATTTTCTTCTTAGGTAAACTTCTGGTTCTTTACTTTGTAGTTCAGATACTAAAAGAGCATAGAATTTAGATCCCTTACCTTCAGGGAATTTCTCAGCTAAAGAAAGTAAATCCTAGTTCTCATCTGCATTGAATGGATGTGATATGAGCTCTCTTTTTAAATTACTGTGATAGCTGATGATGGTTGAATAATTCATTTGATTATCTTATTGCAAGGTTATTCGGAGTGATATATGTAAATGTAATTAATTGATTATTTATAAATACGAAATGAAACTAAATCCTTAAGTAGTTAATTCATAATATCTAGGTAGTATTAGAAAAATCAGATCCCTTTTGCCATGAAAATGCTATCATGACAACATAAGTCACCATCTTTTACAGAAGATTTAAAATATATGTATATTTAAGGCTTTTAATGAGTAAAATAACATAGTTAACGGAATTAACCTCTAAGCTGATTATTTCCATTACATAAATCTTCAACATGATACTGTAACACAGAAGTACAGTAGTACACTATCCTATTACTTTTTACAGCAATAAACTTTCCTCTAAGAGAGCAAAGATAGCTTTTAGATTTAACTTTAATTAAGAAGGAAATCTGGTTAATTAAGAGTAGAAATATATGATTTTTGCAGATGGAATGTCTTACATCCCACTAATGAAAATTAATGCGTATAGAGCATTTTTGGGAGGCTAAATATATTTTAACCTGCTTTCATATCTTGGCAGATAAAATGCGTTCACATTACATGGGCTGTTTAAGGAATATACACGTATTTATGTGTATGGAAAAGGAGTTCCGGTGTCGCAGTGGTTAATAGCTTGGCTGCTAACCACCAGCCACTTCTTGGAAACCCTATGGGACAGTTCTATTCTGTCCTGTGGGGCCGCTATGAATTGGAATAGACTTGATGGAAATGGGCTGTATACGTGGAAGATGATGTGAAAGTGGGAATGCTCACTCAATTTTGTATCTCACAACTAGAGGACTGAGACAGAGATCAGCAGTTTTAAGCTTATAGCCCTCATTTGGATTCCCTGGGTGGCAAAGGGTTAAAAGCTTTCAGATGCTAACCAGAAGGTTGGCTGGTTGTCCACACAGAGCAGCCTGGGAAGAAAGGCCTGGCGATTGACTTCTGGGGGTGAGGGAAATCAGCCGTTGAAAACCCTATAAAGCACAGTTCTGTGGTGACACATGGGGTCACTATGCGACGGAATTGACTCCTAAGCAGCTGACGTTTGTTTGGTGTTCATTTAGATTCTTTCTTCAGTTCACTGTTAGTTCCATTATCCAAAATAGTTGCCTATAGTGGACCTACTTTAACTGGCATTTGAACTTTTTTTTTAGTAGTTTGTGTGAGGGACATTGCTATGTAGCAAAAAGATGAAGTTTAAAACAGAATTGCCAAACTGATGACTAAGACTTCTTGATGTGATGATATATTTTAAAATTTCCCTATGAAAGTCATTACTGATGTTCATTAATTAAGATCTTTTTCACCCCCACCTTCCAGTTTAGGTAAGTATTGTAGTCATTAGGGCTGAGAGACTTTAAAGGTAAATAATTTCACCAACACCACAGTCTGTCATCAAAATGATTCCTTCTCCTGCAATCTTTTATATCACGTTCCTCTTTCTGCTACTTCATTAAAACTCAGGGGAGGGAGAGGCTCTTGCTTAAGGTCTGCTCATGGTTTTATCAGGTATCTTTTAAAGCAGCTCATGGTGCTAGCATACTAATGTATTTTAGGTGTGATACATTAAAGTATGTTTACATCATTTAGGAAGGAAATATTTTTTTTTTTGCTTTGTTTTGCAGATGTACAGATCAGCTCTCAAAATGTCTTCTGTGTCTTCCGAGCGTCTTCTAAGACAATTGCGTTAGCCTCCTGCTAGTTGACTAAAAGAATTAATAATTGTAAAAAGCACTCTAAAGCCACATGCCTTATGAAGTCAATGCTGGGTATGATTTTACAAGTATGTGATCCATTTTTTCAAGTGAAAATGTTAACTGGAAAAGTTCTTGGCACACAGTAAAACATAGTGCAATCTGTTATTTGTCTCAGAGATAATAACTTGAGGGTGGCTATAGTCTTATGGCATCTAACTTATGCCTTGCTAGGGGAGTTTCTTCCACTTAGAAGTATTGCGAATGTGCTTATATTTACATAATATGTCACTCTGAAAAATTATGGTGATATAATTCTAGTAAAAAAATTATTTTTTCTATAACTACTTCAAAGTATAGTCAACTAAATTAACCACAGTGGTTTTTTTTTTTTAATAAAGCAACTAAAAAGAAATCCCTTACCCCCCCAACAAAAAATAAAACCCAAATGACCTTTCTGATGCTTCTTTGAAGTTTTAGGAGTTTAGCATTCTTTGCAGTGTATATTATTAAGGGCTCTATTCAGCATAAGGAGTCCGTGACTCATGGATTCTAAACGTCTGTCTTTGGGTGGAAGAAGGAACTGAAATTTGGAAAGATGATAATTTAATTATATCAAATTTTCTTTCAGGAATTAAACATGCTGATTGAGTAGTTATTAAACTATGACCCATTACATCTCTTGAGGATAACAATAAATCGGCAAGATATAAACTTTTCTTTGTTCTGAAGACTAACTTACTGATTCTCATACCCATTTTTAAAGTATTTTATCTTAGTCCCCTTACTGTTGGCAGTGTTGCCATTTTTGTAATACCATAGATGTAGATTAATATATGGCCATAACTGTTTTTCTTTCCATTTGGATGGAAGGATAATTTTAATGAATTGGATTATTTATTCCTTGTTTATTCATTGGGTCCACCATTTCGTATAGGATTTTTATAATTTTTGTGTAACCTTATTCATTTGGTGAATTATTGTTAGGTTTTATACATTAAGGAGAAAATGATAAAATAGAAATGATTCAGCATTGTAACTGATAGTTATTCAGCGTTTGTCCAAAGAAAGATTATACTGCAATAGTTACTAAAGATATTATGTGAAATGGGAAAAAAAAAAAAACCCAGGAAATTCTGGAGGGAAAGGCTGAACTGCTGTACCAGAACTTCACATTTTTATATGTATAAATATCTGTTACTCTGTAAAGTAGAAAACCTTTTTCTGTAGGACAAATTAAAACAGTATATTTTTTACTGAAACTCTTATATTTTAAGCCACAACCAACTCCTTAAGCTTCCCCTTTTTTCTTTCTTTTTTAATTTTCCCTTTAAGTGTCAATAAAATTGCTCTCCAGGCTTCCACATGTTGTTACAAGTTCCTAAGGTTACTTTAGTCACTTTTGAAAGTGAGAGAGACATCTACTAAAAAGTTAACATCAACAGATAAGACATTGAAATGCAAATATTAAAGAAGAAAATTAGTTAACCGTTTTTTTTTTTTTCCAATGATGGTTACCTAACTTAGTTACTTTTAAGGCTTAATTCATATTACCTCATGGGTCACTGAAACCTCAGTCTTATAAATGTATATGTTTTTGTTGCTGTTTCAAGAGCGAAATTCTATGGATATATGGTTAATAATATCTGTGTGAAAGAAGGAGCAGTGTACTTTCTTAAAGGCAGCTGTACAGTATTTTTGACATTATTCAACCAATGAGAATTTTCACCTTGTAAATGATCCTTTATACTCTGGAGTGTTTTTCTTTGGTCGGTGATTCACATTATAAAAATTTTGCTTGACTGGCTTTTCAGAAGCAAAGGTACACCCATAGATCCAGAGCCAGCGTGGTTCCTCAGGACTTGTGAGAAATTATAGATGAAAACGACTAAAACATGTTATTAATTTGGATTTTCTCAGGACATTTTGGCTAATCGTGGTGTAACTAACTCTGTTAAATCTGTCCCACGGCAGAGTCGGCTAGTAAAGAAGGCTTATTTTATTAGTCAGTCACAGGTGGATGTTTCCAGGAGACATTTGGGGCGATGACTTATACAGCACAGGACAGTATTTCACCTGGGTGATTAAGGAACAAAGGCCATGAAACCCAGTCCCAAGGAGCCTTTGCTAATACATCCTTTTATCGACATGACACAAATTGTTTCTTATCGCTTTATCTTTAGAGTTCTGACTCATTACACTCCAGTAGAGAAATTTGTCACTGAGTTCTTATTTTGACCCTAGTCACTGTCACTGAGGCTACTAACCTGAAAGGCATAGTTGAGCTGGCATGTAAAGGTGAATCATAGGAAATTGCCAATATTTTACCATTTTGAATTACAAAAATGACAATGTCATATGATATGACAATAATATTTTTCTTTAGTGAACTTACAGTGTGTTCCATTGGTGGAGGTGGTACTCTTCACCAGACTTGTCTGGAAGTTCAAGACTTAGTTTCCCCCTCATGCTGGATGACAGAGTTCGAGTAAAACCCGACCTGGCCACTATGATGCGTACTAGGTCCTCCTGACTTTCAGTCGCGCTTCGAAGGTGGCTTAAAGAAATTTGTCAACAGGGCAGAGATGTCACCTTGTTATCCTCCATTTCCTGAAGGAAATGGGGCCGTTTTCATTCTGTTTGTAACAAGCCGTTTCGGTCTTTTGGCTATGAGAATATTTTGGTTGAAACTGTATTTATATTCTGGTTGCACATTGTAAAAATATTGAGTTCTAGCTTTTATTGTTTATATATGCATATATAATATTTGTGCATACTGGAAACCCTGGTGGCGTAGTGGTTAAGTGCTACGGCTGTTAACCAAAAAGGTCAGCAGTTTGAATCCACCAGGCGCTCCTTGGAAACTCTGTGGGGCAGTTCTACTCTATCCTATAGGGTTGCTATGAGTCGGAATCGACTCGATGGCAGCGGGATCGGTTTTTTGGGGGGGTACATATTATATATAACATGTATATAAATATATAAGCATATGAGCATATGTATACGTATATATGTGTGTGACTATAACTGAAGAAAGAAATTTGGCAAAAAATATAATTTGACAGGAAAGAAAAACTAGTAGCTAACAGGAAGGATGGAGCTAGTAAGAATCAGTATTCCTAAAGCCGTTTTGAAATAAGAATGAGGCACTCTTTGTGACAAAAATAATTCTAAATAATTCAAAAATAATTCTAAATGTAAGTTGTTTGCTTTAGTCTCAGTTTTTTGCAGCATCTAAAATGGATTTTTTCCTAGAGGGAGTATTTTATTACACACATTAATAGAATGAATAAAATATTCTAGGTTAGATTACATGTCTTTAATTTTCAAATAACCTGTATCTGCCTTTTGCTTGTATTTGTACAGATATGGTTCGGAAAAAGAACCCCCCTCTGAGAAACATTGCTAGTGAAGGCGAGGGCCAGACCCTGGAGCCTATAGGTACTGAAAACAAGGTATCTGGAAAGAACAAAGAATTTTCTGCAGATCAGATGTCAGAAAATACGGATCAGAGTGATGCTGCAGAACTGAATAATAAGGAGGAACAGAGCTTGCATGTCCAAGATCCATCTTCTAGCAGTAAGAAGGATTTAAAAAGCTCAGTCCTGAGTGAGAAGGCTGGCTTCAATTATGAAAGCCCCAGTAAGGGAGGAAACCTTCCCTCCTTTCCACATGATGAGGTGACAGACAGAAATATGTTGGCTTTCTCATCTCCAGCTGCTGGGGAAGTCTGTGAGCCCTTGAAATCTCCTCAGAGAGCAGAGGCAGATGACCCTCAAGATATGGCCTGCACCCCATCAGGGGATTCTTTGGAGACAAAAGAAGATCATAAGATGTCACCAAAGGCTACAGAGGAAACAGGGCAAACGCCGAGTGGTCAAGCCAATTGTAAAGGCTCAAGCCCAGTTTCGGTGGCCTCAAAAAACCCACAAGTGCCTTCAGATGGGGGTGTAAGACTGAATAAATCCAAAACTGACTTACTGGTGAATGACAACCCAGACCTGGCACCTCTGTCTCCAGAGCTTCAGGACTTTAAATGCAATATCTGTGGATATGGTTACTATGGCAACGACCCCACAGATCTGATTAAGCACTTCCGAAAGTATCACTTAGGACTGCATAACCGCACCAGGCAGGATGCTGAACTGGACAGCAAAATATTAGCCCTTCATAACATGGTGCAGTTCAGCCATTCCAAAGACTTCCAGAAGGTCAACCGTTCTGTGCTTTCTGGTGTGCTGCAGGACATCAATTCTTCAAGGCCTGTTTTACTAAATGGGACCTATGATGTACAGGTTTGTGCTTTGTATTGTGATCTCTTTGTATAGAGAAAGATACTAGTAATGAAATGTGAATTCATTTGTGTGTTAAAACTGAGCACCCATTTTCAGAAGAGTAGCCTGCTAGAGCCAGGGGAAGGGATGGACACATTCCATATCAATTTCATTTAAATGTGTTTTTGGAGTTGCTTTAACCTGTCATCATGGGAAACAGTCCCAACATTTCTATTAGGTTGGGAGAAAGTCTTTCGTGGAATTAGTTATGCTTCATATTTCTGGATGTGTTTCATGGCAATTTAATGTTTTCACAGTCTTCCAAATATGGCACTGATCTTTATGGTTCTCATGATAATAATGCATGCCTTGTTTTAATTTTAGATTATAAGGCTTTTTCTTCAGTGAGGGTCTTTCCTGTGTCTTGGATTAGGTTTTGATTTTATACTCAGCTGGACATCAAATTGGACTAGATTTGGGTCACGCTGAAGGTTGAAGAAATATACTTCTGAAAACACAAACTAATTGCAAATGGAAATTTGGAAATAGAATTGTATATTGATTAAAAACAAGACAGTGTGATTTTAAGTACTAGGGACATAAGAATGACCTTGATGCAGGCTAATAAAATATTCCTTTTGGCATTTCAGGAAAATGGTAATAATTTATTAAAGCCTTTAGTAATAATTTAGATTTATATTTTTATTAAAACTAACATACCTTTTTGATCTACTTTTCTATCTTTAGTTCACAGCATATGTGAAACAAACAAACAAAAAAAAAACCAACCTGTTACTATTTCAAATAGAATGAAAAGTGGAATTGAGTCTAAAGAAATATATTCGTTTAATTTTAGTAATTTTAGTATAGTTGAAACGCATGACCATCTTGAGAAGGTGTGTTACTTTCTGTCACAGCCTATATTTTATTGTATTATTAGGCCAGAGGGATTTCAAAACATATTAAGCTTGATATTAACCTTCTTTAGGAAAGTTTAGAAGAAGTATCTGAGAACTCATGAAACCACATCACACTTATTTGGCCTCCTAAATCTCTTAAAATATCAGTCATTTTTATCAAATCGACCGCACAGCACATTCGCCTCAGCCCTCTACTGACCGAGTACCAATAAAGAAATACAGGCAAAGGAGTTGTCAGTAACAGATAGTGAACATATTTTTGCAGTACTTTTAGGGAAAATCAGAAGAGAAATTTCCGAGTCCTTTAAATGTCAGAATGCCAGTCTTCCCACTTTGAGGGAGATACAAAGAAGAACCCTTAAAAAGCCAGTCTCATCTTTGCAAAGCTCTCTAAAAATTCCCTCTTATTTTGTGAATTGCCACAAATAGAATTATTTCCGTGGAGCACCAAATTAAGCCAGCGTACTTATTATGCATGAAAGCTACATGCTCTGAACTTCTGTCTTATTAAAGATCATTTCACTGTCTAATGTCAGATACACTCTGCTGTCAAACTGTGATCGGAAAGCAAATATGTGTTTTAGATAAAAGGGTTAGAAGTGAATAATGTCAGTCTGTGAAACGGTGTTTTATAATTAGCAAGAAATATGATGTTAATACCTGGTTTTCCGGCAGTAGTTTCAGTTTGCTCACTCTGGGGACAACATCTGAGGGAAGCTGAGCTAAGCTGTCAGGAAGGCTCTAAAACGAAGATTATTGAGGCCTATATTTTGGAAGAATTCAGATTTTTAAACACACTTCCATTTCCCCTAAACAGTTATTTGTTAGGTTCTTAGTTATTTATAGTAAAGTTTATGTTTGGGTAGAACGAGCTAGACACTTTTCCTGGGCAGTGATTTTAGAAATAAAACAGATGTGTGAGCTATCTGAGTTTGAACTAATAGAACTAGAAATAAAACAGCCGAATCCTAGACTATGCTGTCTACTACATCCTCGCAGCCGCACACCGTAAAGAAGACAAAAGATGGTAGGAAGCAGTATGTGGAAAGATAATCTTGTTAAGATCAATTTTTTTTCGTGAAGAAATACTATTGCTAAAAATAGAAAAAAGTAATCTGTGGAAAAAGTGGGTGATTATTTCAAAGAAATGATTGGGTTTAGAAACAAGTCTTAACAGAGTTAATTTTCTTCACTTTATGAAGGGAACATTGACTAGACTTTTGGGCCAAATGCTAATCTCAGACATTTTGTGCATACACCAGATGTTGATGCAGAAACATGTCTGAAGATAAGTAACATATTAATATTTTTATGCTGAAATAAATATTGAACAGCTTCTCTGTATGCATAAACTGAATAAAAGGACATCTGAAATTCCCCTTTTTACCCACATGCTTGTGTTGCTGAAATGCCATTTGAGTGGTTCTTTCCTTGGCACTTGAACTGTGGAGACTAAAAGCTGTGGGATATAAAATGCTGACTATAGAATTTCTTTAATGCAGTTTTGTCAGAAATTTATAGTGAGCTAATGGCTTGTGTGAATTCTGATAAAAAGATGTTGGTAAATACGAGTAATACAGGCAAATAATCATTCAATTTCAGGAATTTATATAAATCTATAATTTAAACTAATTGAAGTAATAGATGAGTGATTCATTAATATTCTTCAATTAAACTGGTCCTCCCACCCCCCTTTAGGACAGTTGGTGGTTAATGATAGATTTATGACATTTTAGGCCAAGAAAAAAGGAACAGAAGCCAGAGTAGAGGATTTAAAGAACTCTGTGGCTTTGATCTATATTTTGGTTTGACATGGATGGTTTTAAGTAATTTGAACACACTTGACTGCAAATGTGAGATATATAGTTGGGGAAGAGAAATAATTTAAACAGATTCTAAGATTTTCAGTTCTGAGTTCAAATTATTGTCAACTCTTTGACACATATTTGGGGAAGTAATTGAAACTTAGACATGCTTGAATTGACAATATCCACTTCTATGTAAATTAGATTACAATTAATTGAATCAAAATTAATTTTGATCAGAAATGTTATCAAACAGCTTTTGCCTGCGTGTGTGTGTATGTGTTTGTGTGTGTGTATGCTGCATAGTAAATAGAGCCTCCAGTAGGATAATGGAGATGGCTTTTAAGCCATAAAATCAAGAGGGTTCTTTCTAAGTCTATGGAATTCATAATATTCTCCCCCACACACCTTGATGTAGCATGCTCAACCCTGAAATCAGAAAACAGTCTTGTCTTTACTAAGAAAAACAAGAAAAGATATAATGGCTAGCTCAGAGTTGATTGACTTGACCAGGATCTTAGTTTTTAATTTTTGTTTGTTTCCCGTGTGTTTTATTAAATATTATGCTTAAAATTAAAAAAAAAAATGGATGTGGTATGTTTGGTAAGCCCTTCATGTAATTTTTACTACCTATGTTTTGCCTTTGAGGCTCACATATAGACCAATAATAGGACAAGAGGTTGAGTTCTTCAGAAAGTAATTACAGCTTCTTTCTTTTAAATCTGTTTTATTATGCTTATATTTAAACCATCAGTGAATGGAGACCTGCATTGTTCAGTATGAACTTTGCTGTTTCATTAGGGCTTAATGTGCTGTGCATTAGGGCCTTGCGTCATCTTTATGGGGGAGCTCTTAGCCCTCAGATCAGGTTGTAAAAGTAGGAGTCCTGTCAAGTTGTGCTTCCCACGGGAAAGTGTTTAAGCCATCCATGTTTATAAATGCTCACAATGTATATATTGCCCTTTCATATTAGTACCGTAAACCTTTCCTGTTATTTTGCATTATTCAGGACTCCAAGAAGATAGCTATTGGATTCCATCTGTTAAATTCATTTAGTCCCTTAATAAAATTCTAACGTTAAGAGAAAAATTTCACCATTAACTTACCACTAACTGTCTTATATTTAAACTAGGAGAGCTACGTTTCTGTTTTGTAAATATTTTTATCAGAGTTGCCCAGTGTGTCATGTTAGAAGCAGGAAGAACAGATTTTGGAGATAGGAAGTCATATTTTGTGTTTGTATTTCCAGCATATTTAATTGTATCAGCTTTATTAACATATACCAGTGCATTCATTTGAAAAGGGGATTAGAGTTTGGTCTGAAAACAAAACAAAAAACTCAGGGAACATTAATCTCATTGTGGTCTATTTTGACTTTTCTTGAATTTTACTTCCAAATATTTATTTTTTGCCTTGGAGTTTCCTTTGATCTGGAATAGGAGGGAAGTTGTAGATCTTAGCAGGTTCTGTTTCTTTGTTTTTCTGAGTTGAGGACGATCGCATTTTAGAAAAACTGGTGAATGAGACTTTAATCAATTCAGACTGTATGGTAGAGACTGTTTGGCATATGAACCCATACATATATTCAGGACTGTGTGTCTTTAACAAGTAATAAAGTGTGCAAAATAAAACATATGCTTACCCTAAGGCCATAAAGCAAAGTAAAGTTCTGGCATTTTCCAGGTCATTTTCATCAGTGTAGATGGCTGAGCTGGACAGTGTAGCCACCCGAATAGAGTAGTTTGACCATGTTCATGAATGCCTTTACCTGCATGACAGTTAAATCTCCATTAGACTTTGTTACGTGAGGGTCGGCAAGAAAAATATCAGTCCCTTTTTGATTTTCTGTTTATTTACCATCGTTTAAAGAACACAGGTACCACTGTTTTGAATATCTACATTTCTTTACAGGCTGAGTGTTTAGAAGAAGAAATCATGATTATCAGTGCGTCCAATCAAATTTAGCGTTATTCAATTCTTAATAAAAGTTTTATCTGTCAGGTAGTTGCTCTGCTGATCATACCAAGGCAGCAGATTATACTGTGCTTTTTTTTTTATTTTTTTTATTTCTTATGCTATTGTAATCACAGCATACACACATGTGTTGAAAGTACAAGTATGTAAGTAGTGCCCCTACTCCAGGGAAGTTTGCAGACAGAGTAGTTCCCTTTCATTTTCTTATTTCTTTCATGGAGTCTAGTTATGAGAATCATAGATCTCTTGAATCTTTCTAGTATTATTCTAAAACTTGAAGTGTTATGCATTCCCAGAATATCAGAAAAATTCTTGTTTACTT